TGATTGGTGTACAGGTAGGGGTTCTGAACCCCTACTGACACCTCACATTTGGGGGGTGGGTGGATGATTTTTTGACATTATTTATTCATGCGGGGTCACGTCATTGTGAGACATCTGTATTTCTTCTATAAAAAGTTTTTCTGTACACCAAGCATTAATCAAATATCAATTTGAATATATTATTTCTAGACGCTTCAAAGTCATTTTTATGACCATCCACAACATAAAGTTGTTAAATCGATCCAAAATAATTTGTCAAAACAGGCCAACAATTTTAAGGCAAAAAAAGAGGAGTATTTTAGGTTCTAGAAATTATTATTAGAAAAAAAACAAAGAAACAACTTCCGAAAACGACCGAGCAACCGGGCCATGCTGTTGCTCTCAGTAGGCAGATAAATCCACTGGTTTTAAGACAATCTTAATAATAATTTTGCCTTTTAATGTTTGGACATATTAAGATCCCTTAAGCAAATCATGCAACAACATATGATATCATAGTGATACAAACATGACAACAACTTAATATATAATCAGAAAGAGAGTTCGATTATTAAGGACTAATTCAACCAAAATTGACCAAAAATGTTTGTCTGAATTTCTGAAATGTAGATGGTCTAATTTACTGACCTCAAATTTTACAAGTTTCCAACTTGATGGTTTGGTTTTTCCTATGGAATACAAGAAAAGTTGCTGGTCATTCCTACCTCATCTAATCAGATTAGTTCTAGATATTGATTTTTCGACTACCGGCTCAGGTAATGAACCTTTTCTTGATCATGCTCTGAAGTTTCTGCTATTAAAAGAAGCAGAAGAATATATACTAATTCTATTTAACTTGTTCTCTATCACAGTTTTCCCAGCTACTCTCTCATTGTATAATTTTTTTTTAATATCTAAACATGATAGGTGCTTGAAGATTTTGGTAGGTGGCAGCAGGCTAATTCTCCAGTGTTCAGTTTGTAAAGAATGAGCAATTGCAGTAGCTCGGATGTGGGTCGATATCAAGAAAGTTTTCCGTTAAGCTCCTTCGACTACAACTCCTCCCTCATGCCTTGTGATGATGATGACAAAAATGATGTTGATGCATATATCGAAATAGAGCTTGAACCAGCAAAAACACTGATCCCTGGGACTCGGGAAAACAAAGGGAAGATCAGCGAGGACAAGGACGAGGACAAGGATGAGGAAGTGGAATTTCGTATATCATTTTCTACAGTATTTAGAAAATCTTCTTCTGCCAATATGTTTTCCTTCCCAGCAATTTATTCTGGTGATGCCAGTGATTCAGCAGCAGGATCCCAGACTGTCACTATTTTCCCACCAACCTGGAAGAGACTGGAGCCACCAGTTGATGATGAAGATTTTCAATCAAATGAATATGAGCAAACTGCTACAATCAACAGGGAGTTGCTACAGAGCAGGTGAGTTCACTGGCTAATCTATGTATGTTTTCCTCTCCATGCCAACGACTATGTTTAACCACCTCGTCTAAATTTAATTCTCAACTTTGAACCTCTGATTAGGGAGCCCCCTTCGTCCTATTTTCTCATGGAGGATTGATTTGTGATTAACCAATCTGTTTTGATCCATGTCCATCCTTTGGGGAGTATTTCGGAAATTTTAGGGATGTTGGTCTAGAGACCATTAAAACAGAAATATGAAAATGCAGGTTATTGTTGGGAAAAATGGGTAATTTGTGTGTAGATATTTATCGCTTGTCATAATATTACAGAGAGAGTTAGAAAAGCAAACCTTAGAGAGTCTTGTTAAAGACACTGTCCGAAAGTTGTGTTGCCTTCTCGTCGTGCGGGTACTATTGACACTACACGGCTCCAAAGTAAAACTCATATAACTCACAGTTTTATGTGCA